CTGGAACAAATTATGACCAAACTCATAAAGGCTAATCCCAATTCTTCTCGCCCCGTTCCCCCTCAGTACCCTTTGCTTACTGCTCCTCCCACGGGAGGACCAGCCCATCCTGCCGCTCCCCTTCAGATGGCTAACCCAGCGGGAAGGATCGAAGGTTATAACTGCAAACAGTCGGGGCACTTCGCACGAGAATGCCCCCAGCCGAAACGTAATCAGCCACCTCCTGCCGCCGCACCCGTAGCCTTAAACCAAGGTCGGGTGACCGCAGTATTAGAACATGCAAGGGAAGTTTCCCCCTTCATCGCCGATCAATCTTCCTCGACCGATCCAAGCGCATCAGCGTCAGGATCCTCTTCCGAGGCTGCAGACATTGTCGATCCAACCGAATACCTCCAGCTGGCAGGACTGATCGGAGCAATCTGACCCGCCAAGGAAGAACTCGATTGGGTCGAACGTACATCGGAACCAGGACCCCAGTTTCAAACAGGAGAAATCGATCTCCTACAGACACTCAAACGGTTGGATATTCGAGTGTCGATCCCTGTAGGACACCTATTGACTATATCCGAAGCCGCAAACGACAGACTTCTGCAGCAATGCCAGAAGAATCGGAAGCCCTTTACCTATCAGCACGTTCAGCGTATGCGGAAGAAAAAGCAGGAAGATGAGAGCGAGGCTAATCCTCCTCCAGCAGTCGAGTCGAATGCACCAGAAACGGCAAGAATCGTCGCCATCTACTACGCAGAGAAAGATCACTTTGTGCGTGTATGATCGGTCCTATGGAAAAGTGCGGAATGTGACTGTGAAGTCTGGGGTAAACCATTCGATGTGCTGATTGACACTGGATCATCAGCAGTAGCCATCTTGCTGAACACCGTCCGAAAGACCGGACGACTGAATTCTATCCTTTCTCTACCAGGGAAGGATAACTATGTCTCGGTCGATGAAGAGGCCATGAACATCATAGGAATCATCGAGAACGTTGCGATCAACGTGGGCCGAGTTCATGTGTTGGTTAACGCGTTGGTCATTCTCGTGCATTCTTATTCGATACTGCTAGGACTGCCTTGGGCGATGGCAGTGGGCGCACGAATCCATTTTGATTCCAAACAACTCGTTCTCACCCACACGGGAGGGAAACCTCAGACACTTCCCCTCCGAATTTCTACTCGATCACCAAGGAGATATCCCAGTATCGACCGGAAGGAATAATTCAGAACATGAAAGAGTCTCTCCCGAACCTTGATGACGAACAGCCCCCTGCGTGCGAAGACGAGTTCGACGAATGTGACTATGAGGAAGAACTTAACAATATGCCCAGCGAGAAAGAATGGAAGCAGTTAGTCGAAATGTTCGATTGCGAGGCGAAAGAAGAATTTCGGATGATCCCCACAACTACTCGAACATTCAATTTAGGCTCGGAAAACAGCAAGCCCAACCGTTCCTCAACCACAGAGAGACGGACTCCTCCTACGACATTCTTGGGAGAACCAATCTTGCAAATTTCCGACACGGCTGACATTTTGGAACCCCCTCGCACGTTATACGAGAGCACGCTTTCACTCCGGGCTAGGTATCAGCAAGTGAATCACTACCTGGATCTATCTGTCTCTCCCCCTAGATCGCTACTCACGCAAGGAGCCATGATCGCTTTGATCAAGGACAAGGCAAAAGCTCCGATAACAGATGTTCCGGATCTCATGCAGGAATTAACAGAACTAACAGGAGTTGAGATAGCCAAAAATGTCGTTGATTCTGAAACCGACGCCGAAGTTAAAGAGACTGAGATGATCAGTCCGTCTGAATCACAAATGATTGCTACCGTCTTCTCGGTCCGAACTAGTAGTTCGATGTTGTCCAGCGTGCACGACAGGCGATCACGAAAGATGGATTGGATTGAAGCACCCTTGAATATCGCGAAAGATGCAGTAATCATCATCCCCAGTCATGTCCCCCGAGACATCCGAAGATCCCTGATTGATGTGTTGCATGGCTATGCTGAGGTATTGAGTGTGGATGACAGTGATATTGGGCTATCTACTGTAATCGAGCATGTGATCCTTACGGGGGATCATCCGCCAATTAGCTGCGCTCCTTATCGGTATTCACCGGCGCAAAGAGCAGCCGGCTTCAAAAGGATTGAGTTCGAAGCTAATGGCTGGATCGAACCCGCTATTGGACCGTGGTCGTTTCGAGTTGTGATTGTGCCGAAAAAAGCAGGAGGGATTCGCATTTGCATCGATTACCGAAAGCTAAATGATATCACGATTAAGGATGTGTATCCTCTTCCCCGGATTGATGAGTTGTTGGATGATAACGGTGGTGCTCGATTCTTTAGTAAATTTGATATTCGACATGGATTCCACCATCTTCTGGTTCGAAAAGAGGACCGCCCGAAAACGGCGTTCATTCTTTTTGAAGGAATTTGGCAATGGGTCAGATGCCCGATGGGGATTTGCAACGCCCCAGCCACGTTTCAACGCGCGATGAATATGACTAGACTAGGTCCGCGCACGAAGAACAGGCTGCTCATTTCGCGATACGTGTCACCGAGGCAACTATCGACCAAAACTGATGGTTCTGGTCTAATATCCGTGACCATGTGAAGCACGTGGTCGCTAACTGTCTAGTTTGTGTTGCTGACCGCGCGCCCCTCCGTGGGCCAAACACGATAGTCCCTACAGAAGTAGAACGGCCATTCCAATGAGTAAGTATGGACACACAACTAATATAGATGTGCCACCTGGCCCCAATCGTTGCGAATACTCCATTGATCACTTCTCGAAATACATTGAAGTCTATCCGTGTAGAACCCGAAAGGCCTCAGAGATGGCCACATACATCGACCGGTTCCTCAATACCCACCTAGATACAGAGGAGATTCTAACTGACAATGGATCGGAATTTAAAGGTGAGGTAGAGGAATTGCTAATGCGTCGTGGCGTTACACTCCGATACACCGCTCCCCACGTTTCCCAATTGAACGGGCTGGCAGAGAATGCGAATCGCATGATTAAGACCGCCCTCCGTAAGAACTTAGCGGCCCGCAACACGCGTCTGTGGCCCGAGATAGTCTATCAAATCGTCGGAATTCACTGAGCCACCCCTCATGAGTCCACAGGGTTCACCCCCTTCCAGCTTCGAACTAATAGCCTCCCATGTGTCGACAATCGGGGTACCACAGAAATTGCAGACAAAGGGGGACGGGACACACGCGCGGCCCTTAAGGCCAAAGCCAAGAGACATGCGGATTTAATGGAAAGGGTCGTTCCTAAGCTGGCCCGGAAAAGGCAGAAAATGACCGAACTGGCCCACGGTAGGCAGGTTCGTAGCTACGAGACCCGGAACGGGAATGCGGGCCCACAACACCAATATAAGTTAGGGGATCTGGTGCAGCACGCGACCGCAATCTCGCTCCCAAGTTCTCTGGCTGTTTCCACGTCGTAGAGCTCAGTCCCAACGGAGCCAACACGGTGCGCATCGCGCTCGAAGCCAGCGCCAACCATAGCTCCCTCCCCATTGTCCGCCACACTTCCTACCTTTGTCCTCTCCCTCCTTCTGAGAATCTTAATCCATCTCTCTCTTCTTCATCCGACGCAAGCGAGGAACTCATTTCCTCTCCTTCGTCTGCATCTACCTCCCCCTCACCTTCACCATGAGCTTTATCATTGAGCCAGTCATCCCTGCTCAGCTTCTTCAACCTCGAACCCTTTTGAGATTTCGCCAAGTCCCACATCCCCGTCTTAGTCTCGACCTTCTCCGATTTGTGCAACTCTTTGGCGACGGAGCTTGGTGTGCCGCCGTGGAGATCACCATATCAACCGATCGAGGTTCGGCGGTCGTCTTAGCAGAAGCTTTGGGAGTTCGGCGTTTTCGCGGCCGACTCAGAGCGACGTAACGGTGGTAGTAGCCTTCAGCGGCGATTTGTGTACTATCGGCGTGCAGCGGCGGACGCAGTAGTGATTGACCTTTACCGGTGGGGACAAGAGTTGGCAGCTGATTGGCGGCAGCGGCTGGCCCAACCAGGACGACAAGTAGTGGGGACCGATTGTATCGACACCTTCTCTCTCCGGACCAGCGCCACTGACCGCGCCCCTCGCCCTCTTCCCCATCTCCATCCCTACCCCGAGCGCCGATGAATCGTTTCTCCACCTTCTCTCTCCCCTCCGACCTCCCGATCATCTGGCCATCCTGGGCAAACCCTCTCCTCACTGTAGAAGTCCGCCCCTCCTCTACCCTTCCATTCAATTCTGCCTACGTTCGCAAGTGGGTGAGTTCGCAACGATTAGTGTGTATGCTCACGGTGAGGTGCCACTAGAGCACTCTCACGAGATCTCGTTGGTGCTGGCGCAGCTGTGGCCGAAAGGGTCCGATACCGACGGCACGTTGGTGTGGAGAGATTGCCAAGGGAGGACGAGCCACGGTCGCCTACGAGCTCCTCACCTTCTTGTCGCAGCTCGTCGACGACCTACCGATGGACATCATCTCCTACAATCCCAGTGATCCGAAGCAAGCGGGACCTGAAACCTTGGAAAGGAAGTTGACGCCAACCGTAATCTGGGCAAATTGTACGGAGGATTACGGACAGTATCTGAGCGATCACGATCCGACASCTTGGTGTTACTTGGACTTGGACGAGCTTGCACCGGACAACTCCRATTTCAATGAGTTTTGGCAAGCACATCGGGATAACGGAGAGTTGCCATCARACGACRATCCAGGTCGGATAGCCATCACTGGACTATCSGAGGAGGAGCCAGAAGCCCAGTCGACTTCCAAGGAAGAAGGAGAGGCATCAGCGCCATAGCCCCGRGAAGYYGYGCAAGGACTGYCGCTCGCTCAAGGAGGATCGRCCCTGAATCCCGCTGCCCCCTCGGACGCTGTYAGCCGRCACGATGGCGCACCAGCCTCCCGCCGACGCCGACGCCCTCGCTCGCCTTCTCCGGCCGCTTCCGCCTTCTCCGCGCTTCGTCCCCGTCCTCCWCCCGGCCCGAACGTACCGTCCTCGTCCCGTCTGCCGCCGCCCCCTTGACTTCCTCCCCTTCCGACCTCTCCCCCACCTCGAATTCCACCTGAACTATCGCGTCTTCGCCAGCGGTTTCTTTTGCCATCACTTCACCGCTCGCCTCCTTTGCACAGTCTTCCCCCACCAATCCCCCTCCTTCCCTCTCAACATCCTTCTCCTGTCTCTTATACACATCTAGATGTGTATAAGAGACAGCCACTGACCGGCCTCCTCGCCCTCTTCCCATCTCCATCCCTACCCCGAGCGCCGATGAATCGTTTCTCCACCTTCTCTCTCCCCTCCGACCTCCCGATCATCTGGCCATCCTGGGCAAACCCTCTCCTCACTGTAGAAGTCCGCCCCTCCTCTACCCTTCCATTCAATTCTGCCTACGTTCGCAAGTGGGTGAGTTCGCAACGATTAGTGTGTATGCTCACGGTGAGGTGCCACTAGAGCACTCTCACGAGATCTCGTTGGTGCTGGCGCAGCTGTGGCCGAAAGGGTCCGATACCGACGGCACGTTGGTGTGGAGAGATTGCCAAGGGAGGACGAGCCACGGTCGCCTACGAGCTCCTCACCTTCTTGTCGCAGCTCGTCGACGACCTACCGATGGACATCATCTCCTACAATCCCAGTGATCCGAAGCAAGCGGGACCTGAAACCTTGGAAAGGAAGTTGACGCCAACCGTAATCTGGGCAAATTGTACGGAGGATTACGGACAGTATCTGAGCGATCACGATCCGACACCTTGGTGTTACTTGGACTTGGACGAGCTTGCACCGGACAACTCCAATTTCAATGAGTTTTGGCAAGCACATCGGGATAACGGAGAGTTGCCATCAAACGACAATCCAGGTCGGATAGCCATCACTGGACTATCCGAGGAGGAGCCAGAAGCCCAGTCGACTTCCAAGGAAGAAGGAGAGGCATCAGCGCCATAGCCCCGAGAAGTTGCGCAAGGACTGCCGCTCGCTCAAGGAGGATCGACCCTGAATCCCGCTGCCCCCTCGGACGCTGTTAGCCGGCACGATGGCGCACCAGCCTCCCGCCGACGCCGACGCCCTCGCTCGCCTTCTCCGGCCGCTTCCGCCTTCTCCGCGCTTCGTCCCCGTCCTCCTCCCGGCCCGAACGTACCGTCCTCGTCCCGTCTGCCGCCGCCCCCTTGACTTCCTCCCCTTCCGACCTCTCCCCCACCTCGAATTCCACCTGAACTATCGCGTCTTCGCCAGCGGTTTCTTTTGCCATCACTTCACCGCTCGCCTCCTTTGCACAGTCTTCCCCCACCAATCCCCCTCCTTCCCTCTCAACATCCTTCTCTTTAGTGTCGCCTGGACACGGTCCAACCACATGGAGTTGTACTGAGTCATTTCCGGCACCTTTCCCGCTATGGAGGACTACGAGTCCCTGAGAGATAACGTCCTCCGAACTATTCCCTCCCTATATCCCGATTACCTCCTTTCCCTGTCTCGACCCAATCATAGTTTCCCCCACGCACATCAGATCGTACATTTTGTCGATCTCGGTGATGAAGCGGAGGACTATTTCCCTCCACTCCCACCCGAATGGCCCCGACCCCTCCATCATCCCCTCCTTGTCGACTACCGCCGGGCGGATTTTCAATAACGAGGCCAGGGTGCAGAGCACACGGAGGATCCGCGGACGATGATGCCGTCACGTGGACGACCTCTGAAGGTTCCAGCAGCTCGAGCCATCAGGCTCACGAAGAAATTGCAATTGAAGTTGGCGTCAACATGAACTCTGGCTCAAATACCTGCTCGATGCGAACATTCTCTCTCCTGATAGACTTGGTTCCTCATGCATCCTCTCATCCCCCTCTCTCCTTCTCCGCCATAGCATGCAATCAGGAGATCACATAATTTTGGAACCCCCTGCGCGTCACATATGTGACGTACTAGTTTCCGGACCTGCCCCATCTTCCGGACCCCTTTCTTTTTCACGTGTTTCTCTGCATCCAGATGTGTACAGTTCGACCCCGAGACCCCCCTCCCCTCCCCTTTGCTGTCCATGTCCGATTCAAGGTACCTTGCAGAAATTTGTCAGCTCCTTTCTTTCTTTTGTTTAATTGAAAATGCATGGGAATTTCGCGCGCCTTAGCGAGCGCACTTGGAATTTGGCTCGGCAGTCAGAAATCCCGATTATCTAAATACCGCGCGACCTTCCACGCGCGAATGTTCTCGGCCTCGACCTTGAAGACTCTGAGAAATTCTTGTATGAATATGGATCGACGGAAGATTTTCTTTCCCGCGCTTGTTTTGCGCGCGGATGCGATATTTTCAATTTTTGAATTAGCATAGGATTGGGAAAAACTACAACTGTTTTGGTGCCCATTTCCCTCTTGCCGACCAGGGCCATGCGAGCAAGCTTCCTCCTCCTTCCTCCCTCGCGTCCCTCTCACCATCCTTCTTCGCACGCATACGCTTTCTCGCACCCGCCCCCCCCGTAACTGCTTTTCCCTTCCCTTTCTCCGCGCGCCCCTTTTTTTTTCTTTCTTCTTCTTGATCATCTGAATCTTGGACCCGTTTAGTGCTATCCTTCACGCTCCTCTTCTTCCCGCTCTAAAACAATCCGCGCTTGAAAACCCAGTCGATCCTCCCTCCCCATCTAACCAAGGAGAAGTGCGGTGTAAGTTCGTACTGCACGACGATTCTGATTGGCTAAGGTCGAGTTAGGAGGATCAACATGGCTTTCGATGGGCGGCTACTTGCAAACTCTCCTATGCCCTCCTTTGCCTCACCCTTTACCCTTCTCCGCTTCTCTCTCTCTTCTTGCAACAATAAATTCCGCCGGCGCCCCCGCAAAACTCTCTCTCAATTCATCGGCCAGCTTCTGGGAAGTAGTGGCTAGGTGATGTGTACGGTGCGAGTCGGAAAGTCTTGACGAGCCAACTATAGACTGGCTGGCGGTGCGTTAGATCGCCACGACGGACTATGGGATCCGGGCAAGCCACATCGAGACTAAGTTGGCGGGGTGACGCTCGCAGTGGTGGAAGATGATGCGCGACGGCCGGGATCGTCGACGTCAAAATGTGGACGAGTAATCTGAGTTGAGTTTATGAATGGTCGGGGCCGTGCTGGAATTCAATGGCGAATACACCCTCTTGGTTACGAATCTCTTCTTTGGTGTGACCTTGTGGCGGTAAAGCCGAACTTTCTTTTTCTCTCTCCGTCTCAGTATAACTATTCCCTATGATCTGGATATCCCTGTCTGTTTCTGTCGCAGTTCTTCTTCTTCTTCCTTATATGGATGGTTCTGCGTAATAACTCAAAAGTTGGCGTGTGATGGAATGAGAGTGATGACTGTGTTGGATTGGCTTCCTCCGGAACTCTTCCATTAGTTTACTGGGTAGTCCCCCGAACTAGTGGATCTTGTCTTGTGAACGGTGGATGCGCGTGTATCGACCGATAAAGATTCTTCCCTTAAACGCCACCTTGTCGAAAAATTGCATGATTGTCATTTTCGCACCTTCCACCGTGAATGTATGCATGGGAGATGAGAACGAACGGGTACGAAGCCCGTCTTGATTAGGGCGAGTCGATAGCAGGGGCAATGTTGTTGGGATTTGGAAATGCAAGAATGCTTTGATTTGTGATTTTCGAAGGAAAGTTGCGAGTATGCGATGCATGATCCGAGTACAAAAATAATGGCCGTGTCTCGCCACACATGAACTTTCCTTTCTCTTTCTCAGAACCCTCTGTTTCTGGTGTTTGGCCTTTCCGATTGGATTGATGGGATTGCATGCATGCGATGAACAGTTACGATATTCCTGATTGTTTGCCATGTGGACTAACGGGCTCAATCCGACTAGGCGCCAGCCTCCCGTAACCCCTCTTCGCCCCTTCCCGTATAACGAGGACCGGACGAGAATCTGTGAGTGGGACATACGAGAAGCCGTCGCAACGATCGGTGGGCAGTACTATTTCCCTCCTGAAAATCGGTGTTTTGGGTTCGTAGGAGCTGGGTTTGTTACGCACTTTCCGCCATACTCGCTGCTACTACCCTTTAACGAGTTGATCGTCATCCCGTGATCGGGAGTGGCACCCCATTGGCCTAACACTTTGTGTAGTGATTGCCAACGTCTCGATCACTACCAATCGAAGGATTTCCATTACAGAACGATGAACGAGGACGAGCACAAGGAAAGGGCCACGCGATTGAGACCGTCCACGTCGGATTCGGAATTGTGTAGGGTGCGGCGTCAGGAGATAGTGCGAAAACGGGATACTAAACACGTGCCCGCTCCCTTCCACTCCAAACGACGAGTTGTGGCCCGGTGGGAAGTCCGACAGTACTTTTTAGATTGAATTCAAAGCTTCCCTGCGTTGCAAATTCCGTGCGCGCCGAAACCTGCCAAATCGCTCACTTCATCAGACCAACACGGGGGATTTCAGTTCTGTCTGTGTCCCCACACTCAATTTCCCAAAAATCCTTGGCACACCCCATCTTGCTGTTTTTCGGGGCCTCCCTTCCGCACCTCTAGCACTCCGAACGGAAAACAACGGTTTAATTTATTTTTATTTTTATTTTTTTAGCTACATTCTTCTCTCAATTTTACCTCACACTACTGACCTGCCACTACTAATTGTAGGCATACAGGGAACCCCGTAGCAGCCAGAAGCGTGTTCACGAGAGAACATGCAGGGGCTGCGCCGGACCTGCAGGTGGGCGATAACAGCCAGGGGACAGCCGCTTTGATCGTGGTGCATCGGGCCACATGATATTAAATTAATTTTTTCAGGGTTATGGAGAGGGCATATGGTAAGGCGTGCCTGCTCGGTCTCTTCAGCGTTGCCTTTGTATTGCACTGCAGCGAAGCCTAGCGCAGCCGATCCCGCATTTTTTTTTTTTTTTGGGGGGGGGGTCGCGGAGAAAAAAAAAAAGCTGATCCATTGGGACTACCCATGATCTAAGGGTTTCAGATTTTATTTTATTTATTATTATTTTGAAAGTCCAGGGTGTTGTAGAGGCCAGTCAGTGTGTGCACAGTGATCACCTGGAACTGTGAGCCATGGGTGTCCTGGAATATGAGATCACCACCCAACCCATCCTCAGGTCAATACTCCTAGCGCACCCCCTATCCTTATATTCTACCTCAGTGTGACCAGCACTCAGGACCATTGCCCTACCAAGGGGCAGGCAACTTGGACCGAACAGCAGTGATAGGCACCAGGGCTGATAGATTGCCCAGCCCTGGTGGAAGCGGAATCGGACGAACCTTGTCGAACGGGAACTTCGGACGCCAGGCCCAGACAATGAACTACAGGCCCCAAATATATATAGCCACCAGACAGTTCTATCCGAATGTCAGTGGGAACTGCACCCAATGGCACCATATCCAACCTACCTGAACCTACTGCAGGCACTAGACCCCACCAGTGACTAGCTTCCCAGCCTGTTTTTTGTGTATATATTCTGTGAATCTGTGTAGACAGTTTCATGTGTGGAAACTTGTGTATGTAACCTGCAAGCGATATATAATTCGCAAGCTATGTGTGTATGCCCGAAAGCTATGTGTACTCTGTGAATCATGTATGGAGGAGAGAATGGGCCAGCTGGACAAGGAACCCCCCCAAGGACCGAACCAAGCTTGAACCCGTGACCTTGTAACATGTAATCCAAGACTCTACCGTATGAGCAACTACCGGAAATGGAATGATCGTGTGATATGCCAGACTGGGGAGAGCATAAGAACACCGGAGACCAACACCCCAAGCAAACCCTGTGAAACCCACAACCAACATAGAACACCCTGGACTACCCTTGGGTGGTGCGCAGGCAGTGTCTGTAATAGTACCATGCGTCAACCCAAGTGGATGTGCGTCCAGCTGTGCGTCAATCTAACGCTCTGCCGGTGTCCACGCGCAAGGCTGCGGGGTTTTGAACCCGCAACCTTATACCACAATGCGCATTTCCAACGGGTGCTCTAACCACTGACCTACATCAAGATAAAGAGCTGGCTCGTGTTTTTTTTTTTTTTTTTTCCATAAAGCCCCTGCATAAGCCCTCTATCCCAGTGGTGGTGAGAGAACCGCCAGAATTGAGGGCTTATCTGTCCGGCTGCTCCATCTATTGGTGGAGAGCTGCACCTGCTGGGAACCGGGCCCAACGTCCCATTGAACATCTTGTGGCACAGAGTTTGGTTGTTTGTTTTCATAGGGCTGTGAATAATTCCCTTCTCAACCCGGGGCTCCATTTTACCTTGGAGCTGCTGATTTTACCCATCCCCTCTTGGAGCACCCCTGGCAAAATCAAACAGCCCTGTTCTGCAGCCCCTCTTGTTCATTGTTGCTGTGTGCTGTCCCTTTAAACCCTTTAAGCCCCTAAAACCCTCTCTGAGCCTATGCGCCAAACCACACAGTCTATCGTCCCCAGTACCGCTGTCAAAATGAAACAGTCCTCTTTTACGTCTGGGCTGTCGCAGACTCCAAACCAAAACCGAAGCTCCGCAAGTGGGGCATTCCCGCCGGTCGCAAGGACCGGATGATACATCGCGCATGGTAGCTACAAAGTGTCCCAAACCGAGAGCAGGGCAGAAGCCAAACCCGAAGTAGTGTAGATGCCTGGCGATGCACGATTTCTTCTCCGGTGTATTCATCCGACCATAGCCATGACCATCGCCATTGCCTTGTTGGAAAGGTTATATTAACCGGTCGTCTGAAGGAGGGGTAAAAAATCAGGAGAACGAACCCTGCACACATTCGAAGCGAAGGAGAGAGGGATAAAGGTGAAGGGGAAGAGGAGGGAACAGCATAGAAAAGGGGAGGGGGTACGGATTTCACGACAGAGCTACGGACAGGAAGAGGAGGAGGAAGAGAAGATCATCGAGACTTCGCTGTTGTGCGAGAGAAGAGAGACCATCGACACGTGTCGGAAGCGTCCCACGTGGCAATCATCAATCCGCAGTAAGGGTCGCGACCGATGGAGCAAGCGGGGCAGTCAGCTGTGCCTGAGCCGGGATCGCAGCCTCCTCCTGCTCCTCTGATACTGTATTCGTTCTATCGGAGCTCGTGCGCTTGGCGGGTGCGTAATGCTCTCGAGCTGAAGGGGGTGAAGTACGAGTATCGTGCAGTAAACATCTTCGACAAAGAACAGAAAACCGAAGATTTCGTCCGTCTGAACACGCTTCAACAGGTTCCGGTTCTGGTCGTAGACAATGGACGTACCATTGGAGAGTCGGTGGCCATCTTGGAATATCTGGAGGAGGTGTATCCGGAGCCCAGACTGCTGCCTTCTTCACCGTACGATCGAGCCATCGTACGGCAACTGGTAGAGATTATCAACTCTGGAACGCAGCCGCTGCAGAACCTAAGGGTTTTGCTTCTCGTGGTAGAGCTCGGGGGCGACGCTGAGCGTACCATGTGGGCGCGAGATGCCATCGCTCGTGGTTTCGGCGGATTCGAGGACATAATTCGACGAACGGCCGGGATTTACTGTTACGGAGATCAAATCACGTTGGCAGACGTGGTGCTCATTCCTCAGCTATTCGGTGCGCGCTTGTATGGCGTGAACCTGGACGCCTTTCCGACTATCCAGAGAGTCGAGGCAGCGCTGCTCAAACACCCGGCCTTCATAACAGCCCATGCGGACAACCAGCCCGACACCCCGCCAAAACATTCTGCAGCGGCTGGGCAGAAGTGAAGTGCTGATGAAAAAATAAAATGAAAAAAGGTATGGGAATCGGCAAATCGAACGGGTGGGGGTGGGGACATGATAGAAGTGGGTAACGTGGAAGGATTGAGAGAGAGAAGGCTGTGGGGGGTGCAAGGTAGGGGGTGCCTCAGAAAAACTGTGTGAATGAATCGGAAAAAAGAAAGGTTGAGGGTCGGTTGGCGAGAGAGTGGAGTGAAGAAAAGAGAGTGACGCGGGGGGCGGGAGGGGGGGAGCTGAAACACTGTAAGAGAGAGACGATTGGGGTAAGTAACGTGCTTCGTGTGAAAGCGGGCTGGGAAAAGGTCAGGACCGGGCCAATGAGCGGACTGAGAAATCGAGGGGATGGGGATTCAGCATTGAATCAGCAGCAGTCAGATCAGCAGGAGGATCATGAACACCTGGCGTTTCTTGGACGTACCTGGCGTCAATCGCAGCAGGGTTCAGTGAATGGGCAGTGACGAGGACGGTCGTAGCTTAAGATTGATGATCCACGCCGTGTGGGCATGTATAGGCAGCTTGAGAGGGGATACAACGAACGCTAGGATTTTTCAGGACGTACTCAGCTTCAATCACAGTCAGATTCAGCGGAAAATATCGTCGTGAGAGCAATACAAACTGGAAGAGAGGGAAGAGCAGGGAGGCGACTGGGCAGGCCGGTAGAGGAACACTTGTTTTTTTTTGTGTAAACGTCGGCAGTGGTAGTTTGGTTGTCATCTGATGTCTTTTTTTACCCCCTCGTTGCGTTGCGTGTGTGTGTGTGTGTGTGTGTGTGTGTGTGTGTGTTGTGTGTGTGTGTGTGTGTGTGTGTGTGTGTG